CCCCCCCAAAATCCCTATCTGACCCTTATCCAAGCATGCAGCCCAGCAGGTCAGTGAACCATACTAGGCCTCATGCCCTCAACATGGGGGAGGGTGCTTTGGGGGGCTACATGTCTTGCAAAAAAAAAAAAATCACAATAACTGTATGTTAGTTGGTTTGTGTGAAAGGTAAGAGGTCTTCATCAACATTTTTTGGAAAATGAAGAAATTAAAAAAAAAAAAAAAAATTCACGATTTTTTTTTTTAAATACTGCCATCAACTCTTTTTTGTTCAGCATTGTTGTACTATGCTCCTTAAAGAACCATACTGTCTTTTTCCAGAGCAGCCTCTATTTCTCTTGAGGTTACCTGTGGGTTTTCTTTGTTTCCCGAACAATTCTTCTGGCAGTTGTAGCTGAATTCTTTCTTAGTCTTCCTGACCTTGGCTTGGTATCAAGAGATTCCTAAATGTTCTACTTCTTAGTAAGTGATTACACAGTGCTGACTGCCATATTCAAGGCTTTGGATATCTTTTTATATTCTTTTCCATCTTTGTAAAGTTTCATTACCTTGTTACACAGGTTTTGACAGTTCTTTTCTGCTCCCCATGGCTCAGTATCTAGTCTGCTCAGTTCATCCACATGAGAGCTAACAAACTCACTATTTATACACAGACACTAATTGCAATTTAACAAGTCAGAGATGTGGGAAATTAAAATGTAATTGCCATTTTAACCCGTTTGTGTCACCTTGTGTGTCTGTACCATGGCCAAACATTCCAGGGTATGTAAACTTTTGATCATGGCCATTTGGGTGATTTCTGTTATCATTATGATTTAAAAAGGAGCCAAAAAACTATGTGATAATAAACGGCTTCATATGATCACTATCCTTAAATAAAAGACAGTTTTTGATATGGTCAGTTATATTTTCAATTTCAATGCAAAATTTCACAATTTCTGCCAGTGTATGTAAACTTTTCAGCAAAACTGTACTACTGAAAGTGTTTTGTTACATCTGTTCCTGTATACAATACCTGTTGATCTGTTGACCATGTCAGTTATTTATAGGTGCCTTTTGTCCTGTTCACTCTCACTGTGTTATCTCAAGAAGTCTAATCAGCCTTCCCAATTCTTATCTTGGACCACACAACAATTCCTCCCTGTTGTAGGGATGAGGAGTGCAAGGGGTTGCAGTTTAGCAGAAGACAACTACACAGGCCTGACACAATTTTTTTTTTTTTTTTTTTGCAATTTCAGTCCAGAAAAGGCACTGTGTTTTCAGCCCAAAACAGGAAATTATGAGATGAGTGCACTTCTGCCAGATCAACAGGTATTGTTCTATAAGTGCAGAATCTTTAGAGGGTTAAAACAAATGTGCATGTATTGCAGTTATGTACTGTTTTGTTTTTAATTTTGCCATGAAATTCACTTTAAAACACTATGTACCAAAGGGTTGTGCTGTCCTAATCATCACACCTGTATAAGCTCTTGGACATCCCATGCCAAAACATTGGACATTTTCATCCATTTTTTCAGCTAGAAAACTCTTCTGGAAAGAGTCTGGCAGTGTCTGTGGGAACTTATGCCCATTAGGTTGAAAGAGAATGTTTAAGTCAGATACTGCTGTGAGACAAGAAGTCCTGGAATGCAATCGGAATTCCAATTCAAACCAAAGATGTTCAATAAGGTTGAGGTCAGGGCCCTGTACAGGTCACTTGAGTTCTTCCAAATACATCAAATTCCTTCATCATAGGCTTGTTTTTTCCCTGAACTGTTAGCACAATGTTGAAAGCACACAACATTTTAGAGTTAACAGTACCCATCACCTGAAACACCTTCAGAAACAATATCATTATTCTCCAAAGAATAATCCATACACATTCACCATAGACATCCACTACTTCATTTTCCTATAATCTATTTTTCAGGAAATTGTTTCTTACTATGGTTTTTTTGCCTCCTGGTAACGTCCTCCACAAGCTTCTATACCTCCTGTTTTTTCACATTTTTTCCCATTCCGTTTGTTTGGAATGATCAGTGCACATTTGTAGACTGGTGTAAACTGCATTTCACTGTTCTGCTGTGTTTTGCCTTTCTTAATTACAGTATTTTTTGGCGTATAAGACTACTTTTTATACTTAAAAATATACCCCAAAAATTGGGGGTCGTCTTATACGCGGGGTATAAAATGTGAACCTTGAGTTTGTTTGGGCCAAGCTGGCTGGATGTGTGGTAATACTGTACATACAGTATACCGTGCTGAGCCAAACTGGCTCAAAACAAATGTCCCTATGACAGATTAATCTGTCAGCCTACTGGATGTGTGGTATATACAGTATACTGCGCTGAGCCAAGCGGTTTCAAAACGTACTGGTACGTCCCTACTGTAATCAGACCGCTGGATGTGTGTATGTACGGTAGCTGCGGCTACATACAGTATACACTGGGCCAATCACGGTGAGCGATGTATTCTACTAATGAAGTCAGAGAGGTGGGCTGATGATGTTACAACCTCAGCCAATCCGAGCAGGCTTTGTATTCATTAGTAGAATACATCGCTCGCCTTGATTGGCCCAGCGTATACTGTATGTAGCCTCAGCTACTGTACATACACACATCCAGCGGTCTGATTACCGCAGGGACGTACCGGTACATTTTGAAACAGCTTGGCTCAGTATACTGTATATACCGCACATCCAGCGGGCTGACAGATTAATCTGTCATAGGGAAATTTGTTTTGCGCCGGCTTGGCTCAGCACAGTATACTGTATGTACATTACTGCACATCCAGCGGGCTGTATATATACTGTATACTGTATGGAGCCCTTAAGCTACCTTATTACCGCACACATCCAGCGGTAACCATCTGATTTGGAATTTGATCCATATGATGACTGTCTTACAAATGTATCACAAGATGTCATTCATGAATTTATGATGTCAGAGGATGAACATGAGGAATTTGAAGGATTTTAAGTACCGGTAAGTCATAACCATTTCAATTAAAAAATCTGATGTTTTTAAATGGTGTTGCCTCGGAAGGGGGGTAGTCTTATACGGCGAGTATAGCCCAAAACCTATGTTTTACCTGGAAAATTAGGGGGTCGTCTTATACACCCAGTCGCTTTATACGCCGGAAAATACGGTACTATGGTGTAATGGCACTTTAAATATTCTGGCTAAATGCTGCAAGGGTTGGGTCATGTGTGACTTCTTGCCCTGCAGATGTGTTATATCCTGTGTCTTGGAGTATAAGTATCTGCAGAGAACCGCCCCAGAAAGAGTCCTATAGGAGTAGAGATGTGAGGACCTCCTGCTGTGATATGATTTCTGCTCTTCATTTCATTTACCCTTCAATGGGCCCATTCTACATGGAATCCGGGATTCATGGATTTTTGTTATTAGGGACATTTAGTCAATGCAGGTATGGGCTGCAATATGTTCCTTATGCACATTATCTTTTGTGAAACTGCTAGGAACAGTTTTATGTTACAGCAGCACAGCCACTGCTACCTCCGCCAACTTATGTGAACTGGTTGCACATGTACATGAAAATTGATGAGAGATATATCTGTATTTTCCACGTGCCCCAGTAAAAATGTTAGTGTTTCTACCTAACATACTGTAAGTACCTAAGGCTGCATTCATACTTAAGCGTAGTGAATTTGAGTGTTTTTTTGCCCACAATTTTGTGTGTGATTTTGCTGGTTTTCATACAGCATCTTTAGGTGTTTTTGAGCTTTGGCTTTTTTTTTTTTTTTTTTTAAACAAAAAGGGATCTGAAATTAAATGCAGGCAGGCACCTTTTAGACCTAGGTGCATTTGCATTTTTGTTTTTTTAAAAAAGGAACAATGTTTAAATTACAGAAATCCACGGAAGCTATCAGAATGCATCTTTCATCTGAACTCTGTAGACTGTATTCTGCTTACAGTATTTTATTTTCACTTTACTGATGTTAATTGTCCCTAAATAGAACTGCTATGCAGGGGCGTCCCTAGGGTTGGTGTCACCCAGTGCGATTACACAGAATGGATCGGATCTGCGGATTGAGTCTGCGGAGTCCGATCCATTATGCTCCCCAATCCGCAGAACCGATCCATCCTGTGGGGATCGTCGGCATGCAACCTATACAGGGTGACACCGGACCCGCTCCACGAAAAGGTAAGTTGTAAAGAAAGTCAATGATCCCCGCAAGATGGATCGTATCTGCGGATTGGGGAGCATAAAGGATTGGACTCCGATCCATTATGCTCAATCCGCATATCCGATCCATCCTGCAGGTATCGTCGGCATTCTTTACAACTTACCTTTTGGTGGAGCGGGTCCGGTGTCACCCCATGCGGTAGGTGTCACCCGGTGCAGTGCGCACCTCCGCACCTACCTCGGGACGCCACTGCTGCTATGTAACCAGATGTGTCACATTTACCAGCCCCTTCCTTTCCCAAATAAACACAATGAGTGATTGGTACTGACCACTCACTGTGTTCGTTCATAACTGAAGCATAGCTGAAGTATGTTTTTTTTGGGGAAGGGGGGGGGGGGGCTGTCAGGTCGGCTGTATTGGGCCCCATGGTTTCTAACAGTAGCTCTGACACAGTATATGTCCTTATGATGAAGTTACCTGCATCGACATTAGTCACCCAGTGTCACAGTTCTTTTTGAATCCATCTATATATAATCATTTTTTAATTTTTAAAAATCTCAGAAATCCACAGTAAATACATAATCCTGTATAATGCAAGCAGTGAGAAGGCTGGCACAAGAAGATCATTTTCCACAATTAAATGTCGGCCCATGACTTTATCAGGTCAAACAGATTTACAGTTTGATGTTTTTTTCGTTTCTTGAAAAGATGTGGCTTATTTTATGTACTGAGTAACATAGCTAATGGAAACGTAGAGAAATCTGTACAAACTGGTGGACAGACAGCAGGAAACAATACTGAGAGTGCTGGGAGATTGCAAAGCATGCACTGCTAGGAGGAAGCATATGTGGAAGGTCATGGTGGGTATGGTGTGTTAGGAAAGTATGGTAAGTGCGTTGGTGAGGGTCTGCAGTTCATCTCTTAGATCCTCCAGGGAACTTTGAATCCGACTAGGTCTGTCCAGAACCTCGATGCTCAAAGTATATGGGTTATATCGCACAGCAAAAGGCCTCTTAATACGAGATGCATAATTCCTGTTGCAAGAGAAATAATGTATGTGAATTAAGTCCAGGAATAAATATTGTACTTAAAACAATCACCATAGGCAACAATCTTTTGCAGGAAAATGAATAACACTGAGAATTTGACATATTGCCTCTTCAAGCACTATTGAATAAGTACTGGATTGTTACCTATACCTTGCATGTTAGCTGCTTTATAATCATCACTAGCGCTCGCCTGTATACAACATATGTACATTTTCTCCATTATTGTCTTACTGTGTCCCTTTGTGGAGGTAGCCATCTTGGTGGAGGAACAGAGCTTTGCTTTGTCATATCTGTACAGTCTCTGGCTTTTTTCTATGAAATAATACACTGTAATTTTGATATCCTGATTACAACGTGGCTGGTTTCTCACTCAGAAAATGTGACCTCAATGAATACAAAGCTTCTTCTAAATTGGTTGACGTAGGGATCATGACCTCATTTGCTTGCCTCTTCACCTCAGTCAAATTGAGGAAGCCTTGTATTCATTCAGGAATGAAAAGCTTCCTGTGAATGACTCGATTTTGTTCTGGGAGCTGGACAGGAAGACCCTATTTATTTCAATGAATGGCCACTGTTCACATTTGAGCGTTTTGTCACCTGTAGCAAAACACTTGTTGCCCAAAAAAGTACAGGCTCTATTTTTCAGGCAGATTTGAGTGTTTTTGTCCCCGCATACTTGAATGGAAAATGCCTGAACAGCAAGAAATGAGCATTTTTTAGCGTTTTTTTTTTTAAGTGTTTTTCAGCTCAAACCCCTCCCCTTTTCTAGCATCACTCCACACTTTGTAAACACACATCATGTGATCAAAATGCAGGAGAGTCTGCTTCTGGAAGCAGAAATATTCATTGCTCTCATTCATGATCACCCCTGCATGTATTGTCACAGGCATCCCCATTTTAAGAGCCGGGCAAGAACCACCAGGGCCTGGGAGGAAGTGGGACAGCTTCCTGCCCGAGTGGAACAGCTAAACTGCTCCCCAGATGATGGAGAAAAGTACAGGACTTCCGTGTACTGCAATCATGTGCTTGATTCTGGTTTTCCTGTTGTATGTACCTAGGACACATCTACAGGTTTCTATTGACCACAGCAAAAAATTACTAAATTAAAAACATCTGAAAAAAATGCCTATAATATTTGCAAATCTGCTACAAGTGGATGCAGGATGTTAAAACAAATACAAGATGGCAGTATTCTGCAGAACAGTGCCATTCACACTCTGTATAGCAGCCCCATGGAATTGTATGCTGAACTACAGAACTTTGCTAAGGAACAGTGCAGTAAAGAACTACATTTCCCAGAGGAGCTGGCACGTGGGTGGAGGCGTAGATATATTACATATATATATATATGAAAGCCCGGGAAATTAGACAGAAAGTGAGAGGGGAGAGATCTGGAAATAAGAGTCCACTGACTGCAGGAGGACCTGACCAGGCCGCCGAAAGAGAGAAATCAAGGAGAGTCTGCTGATCGCTGACCTTGCTGCACTGTAGTTAAAGTTAATCAGCTAGCAGGTGACTGGATGGAACACTGGGGTGGGAGCAGAGAGAGAGTGTGTGGAGGCCTTATTGAGAGAGAATGACTACGCCAGATGCTATCCTTCCAGTGAGAGAATCCCAGGGAACACTGACACCTGTTCCACCTTTGCTACTTTCCTGCACACAGATGCGGGCATTGCACATGTTATTAGAAGTTGCGGCCTAGTTTGTTTAGCTGCTATTGTTTACTACACTTATCACAGCCTTATCAGAACTGATAGTAGAACAGACGGTCCACAGGCCAAACAATCGCTGTGTCACCATCATCATCAATTCACTTTGCTAGGGAGGCCTTTTCCCTATTTTGTCAAAAGTCTTGTAGCCCAAAGAAGAGTTGCCCTGTGCCAACAATCACTGTTACCAGATTGGCCACTTGTTGCTTTAGATTCGCTATTGACTAGCGCCTTAAAGGAACATTAAATCTGTAAAATTGCTGCTTGCAGGGGGAGTGTTATTCTTTCTCTTTTTATTACACTGTTCCTCAAAGAGTTACAGTCCACACTTCTCTTCACTGTGCACCAACTGGGCCCCATCACACATGCAGAAGACTCTTCATTGCCTTTAACTAGTAGCCGACCGCAGATAGCCGAATGATGGCTTCACTGCGGCCGGCCAGTTCTGGGTGGACGTCATATGACGTCCCCCCAGAACGCGCTCTCCTGCGCGCCCCAGGGGGTGCGCACCCGGCGATCTCCGTGATCGCTGTGTCCTACGGACACAGCTGATCACGTGATGTGGTAAAAGGCCGATCCCAGCGGCCTTTTACCACTTGATCAGCGGTGTCCAATGACACGCTGATCACAGGGAAATGCAAGTGCCGGTTCTCGGCTGCACTTTCCTCACGCTGTCAGATCGTGAGGAAAGTACTGCCGAGAACCGGCAGTTGTCACAGCGGGGATCGGCACCGATCATCAGGACACTGATGATCGGTGCCCAGCAGTGCCACCCGCAAGTTCCGCCCACCTGTGCCCAGCAGTGCGCCCACTAGCTCCGCCCACCTGTGCCTAGCAGATCACCCACCTGTGCCCAGCAATGCACCCACCTGTGCCCAGCAGTGCACCCACCTGTGCCACTCTGCAGTGTCACACACCTGTGCCCAGAAGTGCCACCTACATGTGCCCAGAAGTGCCACCCACCTGTGCCCACCCACCTGTGCCCACCAGTGCCACCCACCTGTGCCCACCCACCTGTGCCCACCCAACCAGTGCTGCCCACCAGTGCCACCCACCAGTGCAGCCCAGCAGTGCTGCCAGTCAGTGCCCAGGGGTTGTGCCAGTCAGTGCCGCCAGTCAGTGCCTAGCAGTGATGCCAGTCAGTGCCGTCTATCAGTACCCATCATCAGTGTCACCTATCAGTGCCGCCTATCAGTGCTGCATATTAGTGCCGCCTATCCGTGACACCTCATTAGTGCTGTCTATCAGTGCCGCCTATCCATGCCACCTCATTAGTACTGCCTATCAGTGCCCTTTAGTGCTGCCTATCAGTGCCCATCAGTGCCGCCTATCAGTGCCCATCAGTGCTGCCTCATCAACGCACATCAGTCAAGTGAAGGAGAAAAAATACCTGTTTGAAAAATTTTATAATAGAAACAAAGAAAAAAAATTTTTTTTTTTTTCAAATTTTTTGCACTTTTTTTATTTATAGCGCAAAAAGTAAAGCGCCCAGCCTCACCAAAAGAAAGCTCTATTTGTGAGGAAAAAATGATCAAAATTTCATATGGGTACAATGTTGCATGACCGCGCAATTGTCAATCAAAGTGCGGCAGCGCTGAAAGCTGAAAATTGGCCTGGTAAGGAAGGGGGTATAAGTGCCTGGTAGGCAAGTGGTTAAAGACCATTGGTTGTTTTGGGGTAAAGAGCTCTTTTCCTTAATTCATGCAATCTCCTTGCGATCAGGTCCTGAGAGCCTAAAGTGAGCTAGTCTACCTGTTTGATAGTCCTAGCTACTTACTGGGGACTACAGTATAAGACTATCTCAGGTTGAAGGTATTGGGTTAGTTTCTGAAAAACAGGCGTGTTAATGCTAATTGAGATTCTGTGATAAGTGTTGTGTCTTTTCCTTACGTTTAAATCAACACAAGTAACAATTGATTTTAGACATCCCAGTTCTGTTCATGCTGTGTAACCAAACCATATTGAAGCTTGCTATAACCTTCTTACTAATTTACTTCAATCCGTGTGTGAATTCACTTTCTGGTTTGTTTCAGTTAAGAGTGTACTGTAGTGTCAGCAGGGGTTGGGCTTTCAGAGTGGGGTCCAGATCCACAGGGAACTCGAAAACAATTCAGCAACTCCTAAGGGGGTAGTGCTACATCAGTGTGAATGTAGCCTCAAGGAATCATCTCAAAGTATGGTCTTTAAATTCAACCTGTCTTAGCTCCCATCTTGGGACATATACTGTATACAGCTATGATATTAGGAGAGACAGCCTACAGCTAAAGGTACAACATTAAACCCGAAGGCCAGAATCACTCAGGACAGCTGGACACCCCCAGTGTGTAATCCAAAAAAGAAAAAAAAATGAAAGCTGGTCAGATGGAAAAAAACACTCTCAGATTTTCACAGCAGTCTTAAATAGTTAGTCACACAAAACAACTTCATGTAATGGATGGTAGATTGCATTGGTTGGTTGAAAAGTAATAGAACCCTCTCAAAACTGCCAAGTAATGGCCAGCATTACACTTTTTTCATATGCAGGAGCCAACTGTGCTGACATATTTAGGAGGACATTGTGACACTCAGCTACTTCTTACCTTAGCTTCTCCTTGGCATCAAAGAAGCTTTCTGAGACAAAATACACTGGCTGGTAATTCTGGTCCTGGTATGGCTGTACGGCTGCTTCATCTGGATTAAAAGGTCGAACTTCCGGCTCATCTGACAAAGAGTGCTGGAAAAGCAAAATGGCAGGTTGGGTCTTTTTTCACACATACAGGCACGGAATAAATTAAAAATAGGTTAAAGTGGAGTCTTAATACACTGTTGAAATGGATAGATCTGGATGAGTTAACTGCCAAAGGATTTGAAATTCTCTACAGCCATTCTTGTGATCTAGTGAAAAGCATTGTAAAAGCAATAACACAAAACTACTGTAAAGTCCACCTGAACATTTAGTGTAAATCAATTAAATACATTTCAGTACAAAATACAGTTTACTTTAGAAAGCAGCTGTAGCCTTAATTAGAAAGAAAAGCCTTGAACAGGCTTACAAGCATGCTGTGGAGAAGGGCCCATGCTCTCTGCATGGAATCAGTGGTCTCTCTGCAGAGGTGCAGCACATCCCTGCTGAGTGACAACTAGAGTTCTTTTTTTCCAGTCAGGCTGTGACTTTTCTGTAAAGAAATGAGCTGCAAGACTCGGCACCATTTTGTTTTGATGTACTGGAATGTATTTAGAGGCTTTTAACTGAAAGTTCAACTGGACTTTAAATTGTATCACAAATCTAAAGAATATTCCTCATTTAGGGCTCGCCTTATGCTAAATGCTCCATTTTAGTGTGCTGGCAGCTGTTAGTTTTGCCCTGTGGTGAGCTGCAGCGAGGAGGCGATGAGATATGTGATTAAGTGCATCATTTATTTATTTTTTTTTTTTTGTGAAGAGCACAAAGTGACACTACATTCATGTTTCTGAAAAGCAACATGGACTGTTGTGCTGCCATGTGGTAACATGCCACGCCATCCACTGTCTGCAGTTTTTCACATCATACAAGTCTAGTGGTGTGAGTTATATCAGCCCTGGTTCACAATGATGTGGTGCGGAATTCGCAGCATTTTCTTTGCGAATTCCACACTGCATCAGAATCGCACCCTGTTCATGTGAACATGTGTATGTTAAGTTAACAACACTCCAAAAGCGGTCCACAAAAAAACGCAGTGCGATGTGCAAAATCGGATTGCATAGTTGTGAATACCCATGCGATCCGATTCTAGTGCGGACCAAAAAAGGGTCCTGCACCTTTTTGGTGCGGTGCGGTTAGAGCCATACAAAACGTATGGCTCTAATCGCACCACACACAAATCGCATGTACTTGGCAGCACAGTGGCTAAATTTTGTTAGCACTTCCGTCTGGCAGTACTAGGGTCGTTGGTTCGAATGCCAGCCATGGCACCACCTGCCTGGAGTTTGCATGTTCTCCCTGTGCCTGCGTGGGTTTCCTCCCACACTCCAAAGACATGCTGGTAGATTATTGAATCCTGTCTAAATTGGCCCTTGTATGTGTATGTATGAATGTGAGTTAGGGACTTTAGGTTGTATGCCCCTTGAGGGTTAGGGACTGATGTGAATGTACAACATATATGTAAAGCGCTGTGTAAATTGACGGCACTACATATGTACCTGTAATAATGTGATTGCACAGAAATGCGGTGCGAATCACATGAGATATACCACACCGCATATATGTGAACCCAGGCTAAAGGACAATTGTTTTCAATGTGCCCTTACAGTGACTGGTGCTATGAAGTGTGGATAAACATCAGTCACAGCACTCAGTGGGGTTGAGTTAGTAGAACTGTAGAGTGTGTAGTGCCCTCTAGGTGGGGCTAGTGTAAGGTAAATTTATTTTTGGCTCATGGTAGTGAAGGAGCCTGAATTACTCTGGGTTCGGGGGGAGGTCAAGCTGCATGGCTCGGTAGGTTGGGACTCTATCACCTCCACCTGGTTCTGGAGGTCCATGGAAGCTTCCAGAAGCCAAAGGGTGGAAGGGTGGAGACTTCATTCTGCATATTCAACAAAGTCTGACCAATCCCAGAGAGGAGGCTCTGGTAGTGTGGTAGACCAGCCCATTTATATGAGAGAGCCATGCTAGCACGGGAGTCGTGTGGAAGATGGATTACTGAGAGGTGTTGCTGTATAGCCTGGGAGGGAGCCCCAGTGGAAAGGGGTTCTACTTTCAGGCTGGAAGCTGAGGAGAAGCTGAAAGAGGGAGCTTGTCCACTGGGGAAGGACAGTCTGCAAAGCTTGGAAAAGAACCAGCCCAGCTATAGAGGACTGAAAGTAGTTTTATCCACATCTGCAACGACAAGGACAAGGACAAGGACAGTGTGAGTACTTCTACACCCCCAGGGCCTAGAAGGGAGAGGTCTGCTGGATGCAAATTCTGGCTTCAGGGAACAGTTCATAGCTTACCCAATCCCTTGTGCTGAGATCAGACACTTTAGACAGGTGGGCTGGTATTCTGTGCACTAAGGGGACCAAGAGCTCCTACACATTGTCATGTACAAATGTATAATTTGGTGCAGCTGTGCATGGTAACCAATCAGCTTCTAACTTCAGCTTGTTCAGGTAAGCTTTGACAATAAAACCTGGAAGCTGATTGGTTTCTATGCAGAGCTGCACCAGATTTTGCACTCTCCAAGTATAGTAAATCAATCCCAGTGTGAATTAGCCCTTAATGATAGAGGTTGGAGCAATGAAAAACTATGTGCCCCAGTGGACAATTGTGCATTCAGATCAGCTGGTTTACAGCACATATAGAAATATACCAAAATATTTAACTTAAAAGCATAACTTACCAATAATTCACCATATGATGACAGCAGACCAGCACCATATGCTTTCATTTCACCATCCTGCTTACACAGGCCAAACTCTACTGTGAACCAGTATAGCTGAAACAAAAAAAAGTATATGGCCATATTAGATAATAGACACACTAACCATTTAGTTGACATATGCAGAACGGAAAAATTTGTTTAGTTTAGTCTTGGATAGATTTGTTATGTTGCTAATTTCGCTTCGTAGATTAGTTTGGAATTTGTTTAGCTTCGTTTTGTTTATTTTATTCAATTTCTAACGAATTTCAAATTTTCAGAATGATTTGAGTTCTATGTGAAGAATAGCTGGTTATTAAGCAAATGGCCGGGAAGCCAGCTGCAGCGTCCTTAACCGCCGATGACTTATCAGCTGTCAATGGTTTCCCCACTGACAACTGAATGTAAAAAAAAGAATTGGAAGCATCCATGCCAGGCAATTTGGGTCTGGTATGGATTTTAAGGGGAACCCCCATAGCAACATTTTTTTTAAAGCGGTGCAGGGTCCCCCCAAAATCCCTACCAGACCCCTATCCAAGCATGCAGCCTGACAGGCCAGGAAAGGGGGGGGACAAGCAAGCGCCCCACCTATACCATACCAGGCCACATGCCCTCAACATAGGGGATGCTTTGGGGTAGGGGGGGCTCCCCCCAAAGCACCTTGTCCCCATGTTAATGGGGAAAAGGGTCTCTTCCCCCCCAACCCTGACCGATGGTTGTGGGGGACTTATCGGAATCTGGAATCCCCTTTAACAAGGGGGCCCCAAGATCTCAGCCTCCTCATGTGAATCAGTAGGGGTACATAGTACCCCTACTTATTCACCAAAAAAATGTAAAAAGTTATAAAAAAACATACCATCAGTTTTTGACATGTCCTTTATTAAAAAATAAAAATAAATATCAGCTGGATTAGATCCATTGACAAGCACAATGAACGTCTCTGGCCACCAACCCAAGGAGAAAAGAGTTCTGCACTTGACAAAGGCTCCTGCCATCTGATACCTCCACAGCCTGATAGTTCTTAAATAACAAAGGGGCGGGGTCACCCAGCGACATCATTGGGTGGCCTTGTCCTTTTGTTATTCAAGAAAGATCAGATGGCGGAGTTGTCAGGCGGCAGGAGCCTTCGTCAGGTGTGAAGCCCTTTTTCTTTTTTTTCTTTTTTTTTTTCTGCGGGTCGGCGGCCAGTGTTCACCGTGATTGACATTGGATCTACTTTGGAGACATTTATTTATTTTTAATAAAAGACATCAAAAATTGGTGGTGTGTTTTTTCTAACCTTTTACACTTTTTTGGGAGACCCCCACAAGCACCACCCAGGGTTATGGGGAAGAGGCCCTTGTCCTTAACATAGGTGCAAGGTGCTTTTGGGAGGAGCCCCCCCCCCCCCCCCCAGTGTTCAATGCTCTCTGTCAAGCTCTGTAAAAATGTTAGTGCTCTGTCAAGTACAACAAAAACAATGCATTTTTCTTACAAGCATACATACAAACATTTAGCAGCTCTCACCGTGGCCAGTTTCTCTATTTCTTCATCTGTTGCTCCCAGTGACGCTAAGCCAATGTCCTGCATAAAAAAATAATATAAAAAGAGATGCCTAGGTTTGAAGATACACAGCTGGCCCTCAATATTGGCATTACAAAACCAGAACTCTTGCATTTGGGTAAAAAAATAAACTTAAAGGGTTAGTCTCCCCAGAGATAGGAGGGGGCAATTAGTCACTAAATTGTTTTTTTATATCTTTTCAGACTCCCTATATCTCCCTATCATAGCCCCTGCCTTGGTCCCTGCCCACCTTGGAGCTATTTGATGTTCATGTCCACCTTTTGAATGTTTCTATTCCTTCATAATATATAAAATGGAAATACATTAGAAGTAAAACAGTTAGAGCAAGCCCCCCTTTTAATAGTTATAGTGGGTGTGCAGGTCTGATAACTGATGCATAAGTGCAGAGATCCCACTACTGGAGCCCGCAAGTGATATGAGGTCAAATAATGTGGGGCATCTGTCAAAAGCTAAAGTAATAGTGGCTCAGTGTGGTGATCCTGAACCTTTAAGTGCCAAGAAATGTGTTGCCCTCAAATAGGCTATCAACTTTGTTACAAAAATGGTGCTAAGCATTAAATCAAAATTGAATGTCCTTTGCAGAACACTAAGGTAGTCCAAAGTGTTATTATGGATTTTCTTTGAAATGGAAAAATTTGTAAAAAAAACACTGTCCATACTGCAGCTGCTGGTGACAACGCACCTCTATTCTTGCCAAGGTCAGAATTCCACTGCATTCTTCTGTATAGGTCAGAAACACATTAGAGAATAATGGCTGTAGTGATTGCAGGACCATTTAGGATGCCAGGGGCCTGGCACATTGTTCTAGCTCTAGACAATATGGATAGAGTAAAAAATGTATTGACTTGGGCTTTATAGGTGCACTTACCCTTTACGTCTCTTAGATTCCCAGTCTGTGACCTCAAATTTGCCCAATAAACAGCATATTCTACAATAAAAGTATACCTCCCTCTTTTCTTGACCCCTGAGATGATATTCTCACCTAGTATATCCTACATTGAGCTGAGCATATATCTTTTAGTTAATGTTAGAGTAAGGTATGTTATAATATCTTGTACCGAGCCTGGGTATGCTCAATTTTGTAACTAAACTCTTGAAATTCAAAAAAAGAATTAAAAAAACAACATATCCTACAAAACAACAGATATTTCCTCATATATCATATATTACAACCCTACATCATAACTCAATAGAAGACAAACCTGGGAAAACTGAGCAAATGTTTTATCAGCCAACATAGGAACATGTCCCAGCAGCTCATGACAGCAATCCCTGTGGAATAATGAAAAATAAAAAAAATTGTATCATCTTAATCTTTAATTCTAAAGAGTACTCACAGAGTAATTTTTGCATTTTGCTATACTTTAGTTACCTCAAAAATAGCTCATGATTTCTAGCTTTTCTTAACTTACACCTGTGAATTATAGAAGAACTTTAAGAAAAATAGTAAAAATTTCTAGAGCTCCCTTGTAGCAGGTTAAACCAGTTCCCTTGCTGAAACCTACAGTAAATGTTTTTAATGATTACAGAAGACCCAAAGTATCATCCCTCTGGTTCATTCTACTGTTAGTTTCTTAACTAACAATGGCCCTAAGGCCACGTCAGAAATCACACACTTACATATTCCAAAAACCTTCTATATCTACAATGGTTCTTGGCCAAGTCCACAGGAGGTCCCGCTAAATACCTGAGGAACATAAGCATGGGAAACCAGGTTGCACCTGGGGAACCCTTTCCAACCACTGCCAAGAAAGCCAACCTTGCTCCACTAGGCCACCACTTCCAACCCAAACCAGTTTTAAAATCTCTACTTCCCCACGTATGGGCCATTTTGCATAAGTAGCACTAACCAACTCTTATTAACTTCTTAGCATCAGCACTCAAAAGCCCACATTTATATTTTACATGTCCAAATATTTAGTAAATCAATCCAAAGATATGGTACTAGCACAAGGACACTCTTCTTCAGAAACATTAGTCTTCACAGTGCCAGCAATGCAAATGAGGAAAGGTGGCAGTACTAGCAAATTTCAGTTCTCATAAAACACAGGTAACCAAGGATGCATCAGTGCTGTTTCCAATCTAGCCCATCCTAGGGGGCTCGCTCTCCATTTTTCCCCCAAGGTGTAAGAACGCAGTTCTCTGTGATCTTGTCTCCATCTCTGTTTCCAAGAACCCCTTGACTCTTTCGCCCAGGTTATTTTATCTCCTCTTAGGAAGCATGGATAAAAGACATAAGAGCTACCTAGTAACTGTTGAGTGGGACTACCCATTAAAGGATGCTCACATAATTGCGCAAAGGCAAAATGAGAGCAGACAATGACCTCCAATGGTGCCTGCAGGAACTACAATGGACATCCTCCCCAGATATGCCAGATGTATACAATAGGGTCCTAACACCCTGTTACAAACTCAAAAGTTTAAATTGGTTAGCAGTACCTTGGATTTGGCTTGCATCTAGAAATAATACAATTTTCCCCTCTTTGCTGTTAACCTGTAATACTGCTTTTTTTTTTAAAAAAAAAAAAAACCTGACAGCTAAAGACCACACTGCCAAACCACCAGCATCAATCCAGGTTGACAACCCCCCTCCTCCTGTTTACTTGTAGAAGGTAAGGAAAGCAAATAGCCATCTGCTTTGCAGAGATATTCATACTATAACTAGACAATACAGTTATTGTATGGAGCTTCCATTTATTGTAGTGGCTAAGACGTTCTGTTGTTGTTCCAAGATTCTCTTGTATTGTCATCACTGCTTACTGAAGTATTCAGGCTTACAGAAAGCTTCTTCATATACAGATGTGTTCTATTGTCTCCTACTTAGACATTGCACATCTGACCACCATCAAACAGGGTGTTCCTTTTTATTTTATCCAGGCAAAAACTGTCTGTGGTTATCCAGCTAAAGTGGAACATGTCCTGACATGCTTGGATACATTTCCAGTAAGAGAATCACATGTAAACAATTTATTGTAATGTGTTTTTTATACCCTCCCCTTTTATTTAAGTGTACAACAAGCTTCAATTGTTTTATGTTTTTATTTTTTCAAATTTTAGAGAACTGCTTATGATGGGGCTTAACTGGTTTGTGACCAGAGTCCATTAATGCCTAGTTGTCCAGACTAAATATAGCAGTGTCAGTATGCAACTGTTAACTACTTGCAGGTCTGTTCACACCAGGCTGCATCTGCAGTAATGCATGTGTCGCAAAATGCTTTGCTTTTCCTGTGCATTGCTGCATCATTGCAGCTCACTAACCTCTTGGCACCAGCCACGCGCAAATGTGCGACCTCACATTTGCCTGCAATTAAGAAACACATATGTGCTGAGAGCACGCGCCCTGCGCACTCCCAGCTCACGTGTCCTGTACTCATGGAAAGGTTCTGATCTCCTCTTTCAATCAGGACCTTTCCCGATGATGTGACTGCTGTGACGACAAATCATGGCGGTCACATGACCCTAAAACCCCGCCCCACTTCCCGGGGTCTCTGAAACCCTTAAAGGGCCAGGAGGCGCCGGCACCGAGGGGTTAAAATGGAGTTCCAACCAAAAGTGGAAGCTCCACTTATCTGCCTCCACCCCCTACACTGCCACATTTGGCACCTTTTAGGGGGAGTGGGTACCTGGTTTTGACAGGTACCCACTCCCACTTCCAGCTCAGTTTGCCGCGGAAAACTGAGCCAAAAGTTTGGCCCCCTCTCCTTCCTCCCCCCCCCCCCCTCACAGGCCTCTGGGACATTTCACAGGTCCCAGAGGACTGCAGCCCATTCACAGAGCACAGTAGGAAACTGACTGTGAAGCCACAAGGCTACACAGCCGGTTTCCCTTAGTCAAGATCCCAGCTTCAGCACCTGACAGCCGACTGAAGAATTGGCTCGAGGTGAGGACACCACTGGATCCCTGGACAGGTAAGTGCCCTAATATTAAAAGTCAGCAGCTAGAGTATGTAGTATGGGATGGGGGGTCCGGAATTCCTCTTTCACTGTGATTGGGCTTCGAATGCAGGAAAAGTCACTCCTGCTTTATTATTTTTACCCCAGTATGTAGTGATGTAGCGCAGGTGAGTTCTGTACATGCATTGGGTGCTCCTTCCCCCTGAGTAGATTTAATCCACCCACCCCCATCAAAGCTCTATACTTGCCTGGATCTCCAGCTAAGGCCCACATACTTGTTTACATTGCTCTGATTGCTTCTTCACCCAATGTATGTGTGTGTGTAGTTCATTTCAATACACTCCTATGGGGCTGGTAGACAGACAGGAGTCAAACTGCAGTCACACAAAGAAACTTTGTGTGATTGTTCCCTTACCCTTTAAGAATAGTATTTCTTTCTATATGCACAGCAAGTGCACCCAGAAAGAATAAAATTAAAACAGCTGTTGCTGTCAGTAACAGTAGTTTACAAACAGAGCCACGTGATCAGTGATTGGTTCCTGGCAGCTAGTGTAATCTGGTCTGTATCTGATAACTGTGGAACTTCTTCCTCTGTTGGTGCTGTGTTATCCTTCTGCAGTGTGCATAGGGTTAAACTGAATATTCATTAATGCAGAAGTGCAGCAGCCATCTTTATGTAGACCACTTTGCAATGCTCATTTATGGAGTTTCTCCAGTGCAGGGCACAGCCATCTTGGCTGGGTCTGGATTAATCTGAAAATGCAGGGATGTGGGGAAAAAAAGGGGAGGAGAGGAACAGGTGGGGAGCTGAGAGAGGGGAACAACAAGGTTGCAGGGAGGGGGGACACAGACGGCTGCTCCTTGAGATGTGAACCCATGTGGCAGAAGGACAGAGTGCAAAGACCTGTGTTGCCATACCTTCCAACTGTCCCTGATTTCGAGGGATTGTCCCTGATTTGGAACAAAGTCCCTCTGTCCCTCCTCCTCATTTGTCCCTCATTTTGGTCTGATCTATATAGTTGTATATAGAATGCACTATTTATCTTTCAAAAAGTGTTTCACAGTGCTAAACCTTACATCCAATTTTTAAATGGTTGCATTTTTAAACTTCAAAAACCAGTATAAAGGAATAGTAGTTGTAAAAAAAAAAGCACTTTGGGTTTAACCAATCTTTTTTTTGTATAACTTTCCATTAAGGGGGCATGGTAGGGGGGTGTCTTATGCCTACATATATTTGCTAATAGGTGTCCCTCGTTCCCATCTCAAAAGGTTGGGAGATATGGTGTTGCACCCACCTACATTGAGTACTGAGATCTGTGCTACACCTGTTTGCTGCTGTGTGTTGGAAGCTTGTGTTCCAGAGGCTACCTTTGCTGATCTGGAATGAACTGCTGTGAGCGAAGAGCCAGTGTGCAGGGCTGCTGAGAGACAGACTGCTGCTGAGAGCAAGGATGGAGACACTAGCTGCTTGGACACGTGCTGTAATAGAGACATTCTGTCAATTTGCTACCACCATGGACTGAGCTTTGCTGTTGTGGGACTACATAGCCCAACATTCCAACAGAGACTGGGACTGACTGTGTAGAGTGCTGGGATCTATGCACAAAGGCTCCACCAGAGACTTGTTGTTAGAGACTCCTGAGCTGCTGTTCCAGACCTGAGATATAGAGAGAAACTGCAGCTGAAATGTGGTGAAAGACTAACTGAGATCTGGTGAAAGACTGTTGCTGCGATCCACTGAAAAACCATGGTCCAAGATTTGTGCTTGTGTTGTCCAGACCTGCTGACTGCAAGGAGCAGCTTCAATCCACTGTGTTGCAGAATAGACCAACAACCCAGGCAGGCAGCTGAGGAGTGAGGGGAAGATGGGCTTGCAGTAAGCAGGTATGTGGTAAAGAGACTGAGCTGCTGCTGGATGAATGGATCCCTGCCATAGCTGACCACAATTGGGTGAGGGCTCAGAGAAGTAAAGAGACTGAGAGCCTTCTCCCTGGGAGGGTTGATTTGAATACCTGGTAATATCAGACTGTACCCAAGAGCACTCTCACCACTTGTAAGGAAATAAAAGAGGGAATGTATCAGCAAGACTGAAAGAGAAAGATCACCGAAACGTCTACCTCTGTCTGACGTGAACTGGACTTTTACTGATTTACAGCACATGTAGGCAGACCCTGGAACTTGTAAGGGACTAACCTCATACATTTTAATCTGTTGTCTGCTGGGAACTATTGTCCTTTCTTTGAGGGCCCCAACTTTGCCGGACAACTTTGATGTGTTTTCAGCATTCACTGGCCAGTGTAACAACTCGGACTGTAATAGCCAGTTAGGATTGTCTTTATATACTGTTGCTAGGTCAGTGCAGTTCAGTTCTGTTAATTATGGTTAGTCAGAATAATACAGGTGTTTAACCATATCTCTCAGAGTAATGTTGTCTTATTGCATTTGTATATGTACAATTGCTAATCCTCTTTTCTTTTAGGCTATGCTTGGCATAATAAATTCTTTGAAATTCCCCCAAGGTGTGTTGGTAAGTGCTGGGTAAGCAAGGTATGCCATCTCCAGGTATACAGAGACGACATATCCAGCAGCTACTCAGGTGGTAGCACTACTTTAGTTTTCCCTGGGATCTGTCGCTGAGAGCCACGTTGCTCAAAACAAAATAAAAATTAGCTTTTCTACTGTATGTGGCATCATTCAAGGAAAATCTACACATGCTAAACTGTTAAAGGATAGGTTTGAACAGGTTACATGTTACACCCATGCCAAATCCTCCACCCCCTCCATCCCTCAGCCGCTGTCACATTTTAAGGGCTCATGTACACTGCAGCTGATAAACTCACATTTAGGAGCTGTTCAGTGTTCTTTTCAGCAGCCCCCTGAACTCACCCTAATGTTTTCCTATGTGTCCATGTACACATCTTCGTTTACTGTCCTTTACAGGCATTTGAGTTTACAGTCGTGTTTTTGAATACAGAAAACTTGCGTTCAGCAGTCGATTTTATCAGCGTTTCAAACGCAAAATGCTTGTAAACGCGGCAAATCATGTTTATAAAGTGTTTGCATTGGAAAAAATGTTTTAACTCTTCTAGTTGCCGATGCTGTCCAGAGCCTTTTTTCATCATGAAAAATGCATGCAAAGCGTTTTCAAGGTACTCAAATGGACAAAACACTGAACACAGGATGTTCCTACCAAGCTTGTCACACATTGCAAAGACCAATTCACACCTCAGACCTCTCCCACCCTTGGAAACAAAAGATAGATTAATGACAATTAACACTTCAAATTCCTTATGCCAGGTGGCCTTAATGACTCACTCCACCAGACACCTTTCCCACCCTTGGAAACAAAAGAAATGTTAATGAGCAACTCACACCTAAGCTAATTTCAACACATACTGCTGTCTCTGCTTTTACTCTCTCAATTTCTCAGAAACAGTCTGAAATAGTTAATCATTTACCACTTTTCAGTGCATTCTGGGCATTTGTGAGGTTCTCCTGTGCTTATCTTTAAAAAAACGCTTCTAAATGCAAACGCACATAAACGAGTATAAACGTATTATGCAAACGCGACTAAACAGATGTTTTTTAACCTACGTTTTCCAGCAGTCAGTTTCCATCGTTCAGAAGTGTCCTGTGTACATGGGGCCTAAAACTGATGCTGCAGCTGGCCAGCTAAGACCAGTCCTAGGTTGCTAATATGGTTCACATATATGTGTATACCAAACCTGCCAATAACCTCAGTACAGTGTATATGTGCATATGTTAAAGCCAAAAGCAGAATCATTGCTGTAATTTATGTCTTTGATTGTTATATGACATTTATATATTCATTGTGTTAGCAGAAGCAGAAAAGGAAAATATGCCTTTAAGAGTTAGTATAAGCTGAGCCAATCACAGACAGCCTCACACTGTACAGAGCCTTAACCAATCCCAGCCAGTTTCACATTTATGCCCGTGTAAAACTCCCTGCTAGGATTTTCTAGAGACACATGCTCACCAGACAGAAGAGGAAACAGACAGTTCCAATCAGAAGAGCTTTATGGAGACAGAGAAGGCCAAATAGGTATTTAATGCACTTGTGTGTTCCTCTGTTGTTTAGTAATGCAGGTAGATCTGTATGTAAAAACTGTTGTATGTGTTTTACTTATAGTTCCACCGAACTTAACGAACTTATCGAACTAACGAATTTACGAATTAAACGAATCAAGTCACTGTAGAGTAATCATAATCTAACGAATTTATCAATCTATTGAATCAACCCCAATGTAATACAAATTAAACCATTGTAATATGAAAGAAACAAGCCATTGTAAGCAGTGTTATATGAAGAAGATTGAAGTTATGAAAGAAGTTAACTAAAGTATTCGGTGTGCTCTTTAAACCTACTGCATCCATAGAGCGACATTGGAGGAATTACAGAGTAAAGTCAGTCTAATCAAACAAAGAAACAGCAATTGCATAATTTTTCTAATGCCACAGCGCACTAGGCACCAAAGGGTGCTGCGCCTGCCACAGATGCAGCTGTGGGGGCTCCGCCTGAACAGCTGCATCTTCTTTCACAGCAATCTGCAAATTAATGAACTACAAGTCTTCTACCGCCGCAGATGGCTTGTAGTTCTCAATGGACAATGAGGGTGCTGGTGAGCACCCCTGTAGTTTACTGACACTTCCTGCAACTATCTACCTGTACAGAGGTATAGGCAGAGAGCTGTCAGCAGTGTCTGCAGGAGCTTGACACCGCACCTGTGATTCACGGATCGCAGATGAAATACTTTGCAGGCTGCAGTGTTAAAAAATTTATACATGCTATTTTTTTACCTGCAAAATCATGTGCCTTTGTTTTTTGTTTTTTTTTAACTAAAGGTATACTTAGCATTTAAGCAAGAACTTAATCACTTCAACTGCAGGCACTTTTACCCCCTTCCTGCCCAGGCCAATTTTCAGCTTTCAGCTCTGTCGGACTTTGAATGACAATTGGGCGGTCAGGCAACACTGTACCCATATGAAATTTTTATCATTTTTTTCACACAGAGATTTTTTTCTGGTGGTATTTAATCACCACTGACTTTTATTTTTTGCTAAATAAACCAAAAAACACCTGAAACGTTTTGGGGAAAAAACCCGCACTTTTACTGTTATAAAAGTTTGCAAATAAAATTTCTTCATAAAATTAGGTCAAAATGTATTCTGCTACATTTCTTTGGTGAAAATAATAATAATAATAATTGAAATTTATTTTTTTTTTCTAATGTTTTTTTTATTTTTTTATTACATTTTTTCTTTTATTTTACTATTTTATTTTTCAGCACACTGTGACCAAAGCAATACAATGGAGGGAGGCTCTTTTCCCTCCTAACGTCCAGCTCCAACTGACGCCCCCTCAACTCAACATAACCCCCCACCCTAAGGTGCAGCAGACCCCACCTACACTTTCAACGTATGCCAACCAGAACCCCGGCTATCACATACCAACCCCCTGGAGCTAACCTTAACCCTTTCCGTTCCTCCTTCACCACTCTGGGCCTAGTCATGCATGCCCTGCGCTATTTTCTTTCTTTATTCCTGCTACGGGCATTTCTATACAATGGCACCACAGTAACACTGAACTACTCTGGGCAAGTGATCAGGATTTTTTTTTCCAACACATTATGATTGCTAATACCAATATATTTAATTGATATATGCAATCGTTGTTACTGAATGAAACTGATTAATTCAGTCTTTTGTTGTGATTAGCTGTGATTGGGCAAAGCTGATCACATGATACAGATGGGCTGTGATTGGCCCTGTCTGTATCATGTGACTGCCTTAACCAGTCACAGCTAACATAATTGTATACAATGGATGGCATGACAGGAAGCCATCCATTGTATACAATTGATGTGATCTGCTGTGATTGGTCACAGCAGTCACATGACACTGGCAGTGTGTAGTGATATGTCATCTGCTGTGTCGTGTGGTCATATGACGCCAAGTCACAATGGTGAGTGTCCTGCCCGGCCGTCAATCTGCTATAGGCTGGAGGGGAAGGTGTTTAAACTACTGAATGTGAAACTATTATAACTGTGCAGACATGTGAAAAGGTTATAAAAGATCCATTGGGTAATTTAAAGTGGAATAAAAAAAAAAAAAAAAACCCTGATGGGTAGAATTGTTCTGACAGAAGAGTCCCTTCCCTGTCAGTGGTTGTGTACACTATGGCATAAAGCTCCTGGGGTCCTTTTTTTTTGCAGGGGTTTAGTTCAGCTTTAACTCTCCAGAATCTATCAAATCTGTCAATGTTGGATGGATTAATCTGGAAGGAAATGCCCATTTTTGCTTGTTTGCTTGATACTTACGGTTCTGGTGAATGCATTGGTGACGATGCGTGTCGAATGTACTGTGTGCACTGGAAAACACGGAAAGCCAAACTGGAGAGAAAATCTCGAGCAGATAACAGCCCGGCCACAGGGCGTAACTGGAAGCCAGTCCTTTCTGTGATGAGCAAAGGCAATTACCAGATATATTAAAGGGAACCTGTCTTCCATTTGAAATAACAATTAAAATTTTGATTGCAAGGAGATATGAAAATGTACCTGCTATTATTTAAGGTCTCACTTTGTTACAAGAGAGCTTGACTTGCCTGATTTTGGCATAAGGCACATCCCACCAGTCATTGCTCTGTCAAATGAGAGTGCCTTAGAGGCCAATAAAAACATTCTCTTCAGACAGAGGATAGAGAGTGGGAGGAGCTTAGGTAAATTATTATTTATTTATTTCAGATACTTATATAGCACCGTCAATTTACGCAGCGCTTTACATATATATATTGTACATTCACATCAGTCCCTAACCCTCAAGGGGTGTACAATCTAAGGTCCCTAATTCACATACTAGGGTCAGTTTAGCCAGGAGCCAATTCACCTACCAGCATGTCTTTGGAGTGTGGGAGGAAACCAGAGTACCCAGAGGAAACCCACGCAGGCACAGCGAGAACATGCAAACTCCAGGCAGGTGGTGCCATGGTTGGGATTTGAACCAACGACCCTAGTACTACCAGGTGGAAGTGCTAACCATTTAGCCACTGTGCTGCCCTTCAATGAAGCTTTAGTAACAAAATGAAAACTGCAGAGGAGCACACGGTGGGGCATTTCTTGACTGATAAAAGTTATGCAGGAGAATCTGGTTAACCTCCCTGGCGGTATTACCAAGTATAGCTCGGGGTTAATTTGCAGTGCCAAAAGCGGTAACCCCGAGCTACACTCAGGATTACCATGCAGCATTGCTCAGGGAGTCCCAGTTTCACTTACCTTGTCCTGCGCTCCCGCGATGTGTCCCCTGCAGCGTCCCCGTCCATCTCCTCTGGCCGATGCCGGCATCCGTTTTCCGGGGTCCGGTCCCTGCGAGCGTCAGGACATACAGGGGCCGGAACCGGTGGGAAATTTTAAAATTTTAAAGTGGCATTCACAAAATACGCTAAAACCACATAGTAAAACACTGTTTCAAAACATTTCACATACATTGTGTCCCTACTGCTTTGTCCTGTGCCCTGCCTACATTGTTACTGTTCTTTCTGCCTTGTAATTGAGAAATGTCCATGGCGTCCAAAAAGCGTCCCTTTATGTCAAAAGCGGTTTTAGACCATTTGTGATTTGTAACTCCCATTTCACTGTGGCTTGCAACTTCATTTACCTGAAGTCAATGCAAGTCACAATGAAATCAGAAAAAAGTGCAGGAACTATTTTTGAAAATGTACTACTTCAGATCGCACTGATTAAGACAGTGCCATAGAAATACATTAGATGCAAGCTCAGGTGTGATTTGTAAATCGCATGCCGCACCTGAAGGTGTAAACCAAGGCTTAAAGTTTAAAATGGCTGAAAGGAGGTAAAGGAAATTTTCTGTAAGGACATAGATTTTGTTCAAAAGTTAGAAAATATTGAAAATGATACAAACAAAAGGTAAAAGCAGTTGTAAAATTGCAGTTTACCAGTTCTTCGATGTGGCAGCTGCATTGTTTTTTTAAACTTTTCTCCCCCTTTATTTTCACTTTGTAATCCTCATTGCCACATTTTCTGCCTAGTATAACATAAGAGATTGTGGCGTTAGCTGCCTGCCTACCTCAGCCAATCGAAGGGAACGTTGTAGTCATTGATAAAAAAAAAAATACAAGGCTTCCTGTGCATGGCTGAGCAGCACTGAGCCTGACTCAATGGGGTTTATTTACTAAAGCTGGAGAGTCCAAAATCAGACTCCCTTCTGCATAGAAACCAATCAGCTTCTAACCTCAGCTTGTTCAATGAAGCTTTGGCAATGAAACCTGGAAGCTGATTGGTTTCTATGCAGAAGGGAGTCTGATTTTGGACTCTCCAGCTTTAGTAAATAAACCCCAATATGTTTCCCTGTACCACTGCAAGAACACAGCTCTGTATACTGTATGTAGCTGGTGTTGCACACAGTATATACAGCACTGACAGAAGGCACATGAGCTTTAAAAAGGAGATAGTTAATTTAAGTCAGCTTGGCCCAAACTATTTAAAGTGAATTTAAACATGGAGTCAGGATTTAAAGGTTTGGCTATGGAGTATATTTTTTACAATTATTAACCCTGTCTGTACTGTGCTGGCAGATCTCATTGTTAGTTGTAAAATAGATTTGACCGCTGTCTGTCCTAACAAAGTGTTAAAGTTTTCAAGGCTTGGTGGTACATTGTATGGTTATGCATTTACAAAAAGCTGTTTGTCCTTCTATTTACACTTTGACATATAATAGCTTGCAAGGAGTCTGCAGAGTCCTAAGTATAAACCTTCACCAAAAAAGCTAAAAAAGTAAGAACTTAGTATTATTGTTATTTATTACTATTATTATTTATGTTGTGTGAAATTGAACATCTAGAGCAGCCTTTCTCAACCTTTTCAACACAGAGGAACCCTTGACATAACTTTCCAGTCTCAGGGAACCCCTGCTAAAAATGACTTTAAATACAATTCATGATACAATAGTGTGATAGTCAGTGGGAAGAATGCTCCTTACACTTGTGGTCATTTGGAAGAATTACCCCCTTACAGATTGCTAAAAAGATCAATGGTGTCAGTGGGAACTTACCTGAGAGGCAAAAATTGCTCATTGCTCAAGGAACCCCTAGCAACCCCTGGAGGAACCCTGGTTTAGAAACCCTGATCTAGAGTGTTTTGCAGCTAGGCTGCAACCAGCCTGAGCTGTATTTAATGTATATTTTCTGTGCTGGGTAGGTTTCTCCTAAGCTCTGGGAATTGATTGTTTCTGCCTGCTGATGTTGTGTTGCCTCTAGAAGTTAGTGTGAGAGGTAATAATGTAGGAGTTATGAATATGTATCTATCCTAGCCAATCATTCAGGATTTTGTCCAGTGATGTGATTTGAGGATGTTTAGTGCAAAGCTTTCAGAAGGGGGCTTTGCCTCAGCTGGGAACCTGCGCTCATGGTTTAGGTAATTTAACTTGTCATTCTGGATGGTATATTTAGGGTAAAAGGAGCAGGAGGATGGCTGTCTGTATGAGTCTCTACCTTCAGTGCCGGTTCACAAATATGCGGATTGGATGCAGTTTGAACCGCATCCAATCCGCATGATGTGTGAAATAACATTGCTTATTATGGTGCCTGTTCACATATGTCTGTTGCATTGGTGGTGCAGATTCAGCGCAGTTTGAAAAAGAGTCCTGTATAATTTGTGAGCAGTGACTTCTATGGGAACTATTTCTAAACCACATCTGTGTGAACAGGATAAAATCCTGAGCTAGTCCTGTCCTGAACCTGATATAAACCTGTGAACAACTACTGTATCAATTAGCTGTGAAACCCGAGCTTCAATCCACACCACACATGTGTGAATCAGCTCTTAGAGAAGTATTTTGAGCTGAAGAGTATCCAAGAAAGAGTTGGGTGCCTGTTCCTATAGATTCAAGTACCTAGAATCTACTTAGAGAAAGATCCATTGATCTTGAACAACAGAAAGTGAATGCTCTTATAGAATCTTTGAAATCTGAACTACAACTACTACTACTACTACTCTACTGTGTCCAGTTATGGGCATCATGTGCCCCTAACCATATTTATAGAATCATATTTGCCTTTAATAAATCAGCTGCAATTAAGTGCTCTACACCACAACTGCAAATAAAAAAACGTTTTGAGCCTAGCCTTGAAGTCAGAAATTCATGTGCAAATGTGGATTATTTAAATTTATTTTTTTCATTTTGTGGTAAAATGCAAGAGTATCTCAGGGAAACACCCATGCTGACAAAACAATCTATTAAGTAATCTATTAACAGAATAAACATTTCTTAACTGTGATCACATTTGCCTGTTTACCTATTTTCTGTGGAACAGTAATCCATAAATCAGCACTGCACTGCAAATGAAAAATGTTAATATTTCAGGCAGGGTTCAAGTACATTTAAAAATATATTGGTTATCTTGGTTATGGCACTGCTGCTTAAATACTGTAAAGGTGCACACCCCATGAAAATAATTATCTCTAATCATGATTCTGCCTTCCCAACCTAAGTGTTTACTGTTTCTCACAATTTGTACCTTTTAGAAAGCAGGAGACATCCTGCAGTTGTGGTATGTTGTCCTCGCTGTACCCACAGTGGGTCTCCAGGAGATGGAAGGCGTCTAGGTGCTCCTTACAAGCATGTGTGGGATATAGACTCTTGAGAGTTGAGTAGACCTCCTTCCTGTAAAATATAATATGCCAAACAGGCCAATAATTCAAACATGGGTTGCTTGTATGAGGGGCATACTGTACACTTTTGGTGTACAGAGCTCACTTAGAAATATAATTTTCTCCTTCCAGCCTATTTCTTTTTGTAACACTGGGACTGATCATGTGACTGTAGTAGGAAGATTCTCCTGCTGAGCACATAGGAATTAAAGCTGATCTGCATAAAATGTCCCAATATTTCCTAAACTCCCAACCCATCATGAAAAAAGTTTGGAAAAAAAAACATCTGGATTGCAGTAATGCATTCTCACAGTAAGAATATGTGACTTAACTGGCACTTGGGTAAGGGGACCAGTAATTTTAGTCTAAGGTGGATATCCTTTACTTTTTTCTTAGCATTTTTTTTAGGTTCAACTTAGCAATTTTGCCTGGTGGGTGGGGTGGGTGCTAGGAAATAGTGGGACCATGCATTTTTCTATTGAAAGGTCTACATACAGAAGTAGTTGCAGGATGTGAGTTGAATTAGTTTCATTACAAATGGCTATAGCTTGGACTGTGCAATGATGTGCTAAAATCCTTGCAAAAAAAAGTAATGAATTAGATGATTTTTTTTCTAAACACAAGTGGACTTAAATGGTCCCTGTTGCCACTTTATCGAAGAGCAGGGGCGAACTGACCATTCGGGCACTCAGGCACTGCCCGAGGGCTCGGGGTCAGTAGGGGGCCCCATGAGATGCTCCTGGTACCTTTCATTGGCTTTTTCATAGGCTTTTTTTGGGTGTGGGCGAGGACACAAGGGCCCAATTATCCCCTATTGCCCGGGGGCCCCATGAGTTGTCAGTCTGCCCCTGGTGAAGAGTTATGATTCTGTATTCAGGGATATGTAATAGAGCTACACTACATGGCCAAATGTGTGTGAACACCTGGCCATCACACTTAAATGAGCTTCTTGGACATCCCATTCCAAAATCATGGCCACTGGAGTAGCCTCCATTCCGCTGGGAAGTATTTTCACAGAATATGGAGAGTGTCTGTGGGAATTTGTGCCCATTCAACAAAAAAAGAGCATTTGTGATGGCTGGCAATCAGCTTTCCAATTCATTTCAAAGGTTTTTTCAGTAGGGTTAAGGTCAGGGCTCTTTGCAGGCCATTTGAGTACCTCCAGACAAAAGTCATCCAAGCATTTCTTTATGAATCTGGTTTTGTGCCCAGGGGGCAGGGGCCCATTCATTCCGAAACAGAAAAGAGCCTTCACCACACTGTTGCTACAAGGTTGGATACAGACATTTGTATGATGTAGAATTAACAGTACTGAAAACACAAACCAAAAAATTGGGAAGAGAGTTCATATACTCTTGGCCAGTTAGTAAAGATCAGGTTCACAAACCTTTGCCACATAGTGTATACCAGTAAATAATACGTACACTGGTTAGTTACACAGGGATTCCCACTCCCTACACATCAAAAAGCCACTTGTTCCAGTGAAAGTGGGCTTAAGTGCCTGTTATCACCATTTTTTCTGCTGGTTGAACTGGAAGGACTTGTGTAATTTTTTCAACCAGATTAACCATTTTCTGTGTGCCTTTTCTGATTCTTGGTGCATACTGTTACTAAATATGCCCATATTAATATAATAGCGTCCTAGTCTGAAACTGATACTGTTTCACTGTTATAAACCTACTGATGAAACTGTCAGCCCAGCCATAACTATTTATTAACTATTTATTTCTTAATAGTCAATACGAACGTTCCCACGTAACCTGAGAATTCCTGTTTTTGGCCAACATTGGTCCAAAAGACATCCTGAGATTGTTGGATTAAACTTACTAGTCTAGTTATTCTTGAGTTCTATAGCCAGCCAAAGGTTTACCTTCTCAGAGCCAATCTGTGTCAACCCAAAATCTCACTATCCAGTGATAATTGGATGGCAAAACAAAAAAATCAAGGCTTTAGTTACAATGTATCCAGAGATCAAAGAGGTACACAATATGATTTTTGGGTAAATAAATAATAACAGGTGAACTTTTGTGTGAAATTCACCTAATCAGTGAAAATAGCACAAAAAATTGTATTTGTCAAAATGACGTGAACAGCTCTATACTGTATTTGTTCTTCCAAGAGAAAGGCAAAATGCTATAGAAATCAGAATATGCAGTACCTTAATACTGCTAGATAAAGGTAACACATTTACTATATAGACACAATAAATAATGCAATGAGGTTTCTTTTGTGTACTTTGACTTTACTGCTTCAGCTTTAGAAATGACGTTTTCCTTGCAATGCATATGACTAGCCAGGAGAAGACTGTGTTTGATCAACCAACAATTGTGGTAACCGTTTATATTCTTATAACTAAGTTCATAATTAAATCCAGAAAAGCAAAATATCCACCTCCATGATTTGAGCTAATACTTATTTCACAGATAGAAAAACACAATGTGTGATTGTTTATCTTACCAAGTCGCTATTTCCTCTGGCAAGTACTCTACTCTGGGTATTAGATCATCGCTGAAAAAGGGGAAAAAAAATAGTGTATGAACTGAAAATCTGCACAGTTTTTCTTGTTGTTGTTTTTTGGAAGACATGCTTGTATTATGCATGCCTCAACATTCAATAAAAGCCATCCCCAACATTGTCTAATTGCTTCCACTGATCATTCACTCTGATTTTTTGATAGCTGTTCCTGTTTCAGTGGAATCCTTATCACATCACAGGACAGACTGCATTTGGAGGTTCAGTTCATCCAAAACTGATATTTTGATAATTGATGGATGATGGTGAGTAAAAACCTGTTTTTTTCCTTCTCTGAATGACTCCCTAAAATTTCTGCATGACTCTACCAGGGAGATCCCTATGCTTGTCTTCCTTGGTCAGCGTGCCTACTATGGCCATTATAATGGATTCCTACTACCCCTGAATAGAGGGAATACTTGCAGGGAATCTACTGTACATGTTTGATACATTTTGCTGCAAGTGTGTATATAGCAAGTGATTTGTGTAGGTCTTACCTTGCTCATAAAAACAAATCAGAAATGTTCTTTAACCACTTCAATATCGGGCACCTTCAACCCTTTCCTGCCCAGGCCAATTCTCAGCTTTCAGCACTGTCACACTTTGAATGACAGTTGCGTGGTCATGCAACAATGTACCCATATGAAGTTTTTAGAATTTTTTTCATACACATAGAGCTTTCTTTTGTGGTATTTACTCACCACTGGGTTTTGTGTTTTTTGCTAAACAAAGGAAAAAAGGCCAAACATTTTGAAAAAAAAAATGTTTTTCTTTGTACATGCATGCTTCTTTCTCTGCATACAATCATGTCTCCACCCAGAAAACAACCTTTCTTGATGCATTTCACCTCTCCTGGCTTGCTCACACACAGACAGGGAAAGTCCTTATCCTTGTTAGATCAGCAATGGCGAACCACATCAAGGAAGGTTGGTTTTTGGGTGGGAGACATTATTGTATGAAGACTTTTGTAATAATAAACACAAGAAGAGGAGATAAATTCTGGAGTGCGGCTATACTATATACCAGCTGACTGCAGGGACACTGTTCTCAGTGTGGAAGTGGAAAAAACAATGTAAGTCATAACAAGCAATTCTGACACTGAAAACACTCATTATTGCCCACTTGAGTAGCCCTAGACGGCCCAATCCTCACTCTAAGAATGCATTTGGTCCATCAATAGGGACTGGGATGCAATTGTTAATGACAAATTTTATCAGCTTACTGCTCAAAGCAGTGCTGTGCTGTATCGCTACAAATGAAGCATGATTTGCAAACTAAGCATTATGGATGCTCTTCATATAAAATGTTTCTTCAGCAAATGCATTTCTATAGATGTAATAGAAAAACAAATGTTTGATGGGAAATTTATACTGTATTTTCAGGGAATGCATGATGTTTTATTTCAGTGTTTACCTCAAAGTATTTACTGTATGTAGTATTGTGTATGACATAATTTTAAGATTATATACATCAAGCTAATCTCTGTTATGTATATTTCCAACTAAACTTTGAATAGGCTATACATTCGCTTTAAAATGTGCAAGTTTCTAAAACAAGCAAGAAAATTGATCCGAACCATTTTACTTTTTCTTTAAATGCCAAAAACATCTACCTGCTGACTGTCTTGTTGAGCTAAAATAGTATTACAATAGTCCATCTATTTCTCCCTTTGCAGAAGGTAATCATTATTTGAGTGACGCGTGCAATTACCTTTGTCACAGAGCAGTAGCCTAAATCACACTGCTGACCTCCTCATCCATCCTGCAATTATCCTACAAACCTAGCTAACTATGGCCAGTTAGCACTGTGTACTGCTTGCAGTAACATCTTACTATAATAAAGCCTGCCATATGTGGATCGAAATTCATCTAGTCCCTGCTGAACTGGCTGAATTTTAATCCAAGTATGGACAGGCTGATTGTAGCCCAAGTTGATACATCAATCGACTTGGGTACAACCAGCCTGTTGGACTTTTTTAAATGCAATTACTGCCTGCAGCTATAGCCGCTAGCAGTAATCATTGTGTTCTACTGTCCAGGAAGGCTCCCCACGCCCTTTCCCCCCTTCCCGCCAGCAGAACACAATAGCACTGTGGGAGACATTCCCCCATCAATTCTGACTGTGTTGATGGGGGGGATCAAGAAATTTGTTTTCCTTTCCACCCATGGTGGAAGGAAAGAAAATCAAATCATTTATGGGCTGCCTTACTATATAGTTTATTTTTTTATGTAGCACCCTCCTAGTTTAGCTGGGGGAGCTAGACCCTGATAGCTCAAAATAATTATAACCAATAGTGCCACGCTCCCGTGTTAAAACTGTGTAAAAAATGCACCTAATAACAACTGGTGATATCTCCAAAACTTAGGATATATATATATATATATATATATATAAAATATATATATATATATATAAAAATGATAATCAAATTATATAACAGTGCAATTGCCCAATGTGAAATTAAATTAACTAATATCAATAAACCGCATAACCAAAGTCAATATATTTGTAGAAACAGGGTCCTCTTTCAGTTCAGAAAAAAACACTCAAAAATCCAGATGCAGTGTGATATTATTATGCGCTCAACTTATGTTTCGCCTAATAATTTTTAGGCAAAACTCACTTTTTGTCTTCAAAGGACAGATGTAACCATAATTCTCCTGCATGTGATATTCTCCAAATACTTTATGGATGGTTGTAGTTAGGTAATAATCCACCTGGGGTCTCTCCAATCAATTGATCCCTGTGTTAAGGAATGGATGGCTGGATATCTCCCTTTTCCCCTCCAGGGGTCTCCTGCTTCCTTTAGTTATCTCTCTCCAGTATGTCACAGATGGATAGCATAAAGGAAAAAAGAAACCACAGTGCCTTATCCTTTTTAGATTAAAGATTTATTAATGAACGATATTACACTCGCACATGTGCAAATTTCAATGTGCTTAAAAGAGTGGAAGCATAGCCTTCTGTATATGCTATACTCGCCGTTCTGTCTGAGACAACGTTGTTATGTCAGAGCCCTCCCCTACGCGTTGCGTCACCGGGTCACGTGACTTCAGCAGGGGGATATGATTGAACGTCACATCTCTCATTGCTTTATATATATCTAACGGCCGCCATTTTGTTGTAGTCCGCATGCGCGCAGCCATCTTTCTGGGGTTTGCTGGATGTAATATGACATCCAGTATATGATAATGCTGAGCAGATGACAATATTGATTTTGCACTCTGTCGCTGTGAGGGACCGCCGAGCGGCACCACTAGCACTCCACTGGTCAGGCGTGCCCAGAGCGCGGAGTCTAAGCCCCAGGGTACTTGTTCACCAGAGCCCCTGATGGTGGGGATGGACTTGGAGTACCCCGGGACCAGGTCGCCACTACTGAGCACACCTGTCAGTGGTAGGGGTGTTCGCCAGGGGCTCCAACCAGGGAGAGCCAGATGTGAGGAGGTCGGGTGACCCCGATGGGATGGATGGATGGCTGAGCAAGTGCAAAGTCAGACGGGCCGAGTTGGTAACGGAGAGGACGGTATTGTCAGGAATGGACTGGCCAGCAATGGTGGGACTCACCTGCCTTTTGATCTGCAGTACCAGGGCTGGCCAGCGGGTGCTCCCAGCAATCAGAGACTCAACTTTGCAGCCAGCTAACACCTGGAACTGATTATGCTGGGGTATTTAAGGGATGGACAGACCCGCAGACTCTGCCTTGGTGTTGTGTTTGTCCTGGGCCCTGTATCTGTCCTGCATCCTGTTTCTGTTCCTTTGCTGACCCTGCCTGATCTGAACCGCTGCTGACTTCTCCTGCTCTGATCCCGGCTCGCTCCTGACCATCCCTCTGCCTGACCCTCTGTACTACGCTGCTTGCTACCTGTTCTGATCCCTGGCTTGTGACCCTGACCATCCCTCTGCCTGACCCTCTGTACTACGCTGCTTGCTACCTGCTGAACCTGGCCTTTGACCCCGACCATTCTCCGCTTGCTCCCCCTGTACCTACCTGCCCAATTGATATTGACCCGGCCTGCCTGACGACGCTTGCTTGTATGTACTGTTATCTGTGGGTGGTTGGTTTGGTTTGTTTGCACTGTATTATGTTTAGTATTGCACTGCGTTTATGTTTGTATTGTTAGTGTTAATAAATTATATTGTTTATCTCATATCTGAAGTCTGCGTTTCCCTGCGTCAGTCACACACCTCTGGTCACACCTGGGAGCCCTGACATTACACCAAGGCCAATCCTGACCAGAAGTGGCTGCACAGGGAAGCCATCTTGGTTTGTTGATGGGAAGGATGGATCTGGATGAGGTTGCGTATTTATATCTGCTAGTGTTTGATGACAGGGAGTATGCTTATCAAATTCTGAAGGAGTATCCCCGGGATGAACTGCTAGAATGTATACGGCTCGCTCATGTTCTAGTAGATCAGGGCACAGAGGTCTCTGAGGTGCAGCCATTGATTGAGGTTTGTGCTGAGTTGGGTTTCATCTGGTTCCCCCGAATGCAGGGATGAATTTTTGCCACCATTTAGTGCAGACCAGGTAGAGTCCCTGGTGTGGTTATTAGAGGATGATGTGGGTTACTTTCTGGAGCGTTATTCCACATGTTCACCACAGACACTAAGAGATTGTATAAACGCAGTGCAGTCTTTGGTCAGACAGGCTTTGTGTAAGCTCAGCTTTGTTCAACCCATACTGCAGACATGGACAGACTTGTTGCACCCCAGCCTCAGTCAGCTTACAAAGACCCAGTCCTGCTTCTAACCTATTTCCTCAAAGCTCTATTCTTGCATTCCCAACAGCTCCTCCTGCCCTGCTATCTACCGCATGTCAGTACCCTGTTCCCACTCGCTGCACCTATCCTGCCTTTAACCCTGTAAAAAAGCCCTCTGTAGCGACTGTTCCTTCCTCTGTTCCATCCTCCAGCTCTTCTCTGTCTCCAGCTGCTCCATTCATTTGCAGACCTGCGTTTACTTGCAGTGCTCCAGTAGTTAAAACCAGAAAAAAAGCG